AGCAGAGGCCAAGCACAAAAATCCTCAAAGGTCTAGAGATGAATAAAGGGATTGGAAAATAGACGAAGGTGAGAAACGGGTCGGGCGTTGAAATAAGGCAGAGTCACCCCCGGAGAGGAACGTGTACAGCGACAGGGGCATTGCTCGCTCCAGAAACTTCATCAATGTTCCGAAACATTGGGAAGCGCTCTTGAGGAAGGGGCAAACTTCCGTGAAGGCGATCTTATGTACGCTGGATGTACCAGATGTCTGCCAAGACCCAACTACAGCAGGCGGAGCGTGTTCCTTAGCAAATGGTTACCATTACTCAAATTTATGGTTTTGGGCGGATCGCTGTTCGAACTATATATACTAGAGATGAAACGGTAAAGTTCGATAGTTTCTGAAAAATTTTTTTACAAACGGCGAAGCCGGGCGTTCCGACTGGCCCTCACAGGTAAACTCTGGCGCGATACCACTTCACACGCGAAAGCAGGATCGCAGGCGATTCGACTGGTCCTCACAGGTAAACTCTAGCGCGATACCCACTTCACATGCGGAAGGAGGATCGCCCGGCTTCGCGGGGCGATCCGACTGGTGGTTTAAAATGCTGTATTTGAAGATCCTGTCGAGCCAAACGTTACTAAAGGATCAGAGTAACTTTATTAAGCATGTTTACTCCCTTTACGGCAAGATATACCGCTCGCGGGTAGATGGTGACCTGATCTTTGGAAGACTTGCTCGACTCCTCAATACAAGGTGACAGTGGTTCAAACCAGAAGATCTCACAAAAAGCGAAAAGTGCAGCTAAATGCGGCATGTAGCTGACAAAACATAATCATCTGTAGTGATCGATCAAACCTCAGAAACAAGACATCCGCAGGGATTTCTTGCTCGTTGGAGACATGAACAAAGTCGCCGACCAGAATATGCTTCCAGTACATCTTTCGAAACAAATGACGCTCCCTGAAACATTTCAGTGAGTGACTCCATGAGTTCAAGTGTAGTAGCGAGTATATGAAGCCAAAATAGCATTCGTGAGCCACCCAAACAAAAGGCAACCCAATGAGGACCTGAGGACAGGAAACCCACAGGCGGCGCGTTTAGAGCGATATCGCAGCAATGCCACAGTTAAGGACTGGACAAGAATCAGCTCCTGTATCACTAGGCATCGATGGTAACGTAACGTTGATAGTTCACAAACTTGTCTGTCCCTAATATTAGGTTGTCCGGAAAGTTCTCAGCGTTTTGTGCACCTATTCTTTGTACCGTGATCCCTCAGACTGGCCATCCGTAATTGCGTACTTCACTGGGACGCGACGGCGGCTGCAGTAGGAGTGGCGATCGATGCTGCATGATCAGCTAATTTCAGCGATTAATTTTTCTATTTTAGCCTGTTATTCTGCTAACTAGACGCCAAAATGGAAAGGTGAGCTCATATTATTTACTAATTTGAGGTTTTATTGTATATTTTGCTTTCAATCGCTATTTGACTGCAGTGACGGTGATTTTACCCACTTTTTGATTTTTTAGGTTTTTCTGTTTGTGCTTTGAATGTTGGACTGTTCTCCATAGCAGTGTCGTTATGTGTCCCCATTAGTACAAAAAAAAAACTAAACAAAATCAAAAAGTGGGCAAAAACATCGTTACTGCAGTTAAATAGCGACTAAAAGCAAAGTATACAATAAGACCTTAAATTAGAGTGAATATTATGAACTCACCTTTTCTTTTTGGCGTCTAGTTAGCAGAATAACAGGCAAAATAGAATCAATCGCTGAAATCAGCTGATCATGCAGCATCGATCGCCCTGCAGCCGCCGTCGCGTCTCAGTGAAGTACGCAATTACGGATAGCCAGTCTGAGGGATCACGACTGTACATTCACTGCTGATCAAGAACTCATTCTGCCTTGATTCTCAGTAGCACATCCTGTAGAGAATTTTTTGCGCTATCTGATGGTATAATTGCCGTTTCACCATTGCTTGATTAACCCCCTTTTTTCGAGGTTTTTTCAAGCATGTGAAAAGAGCACTTCGGACGAATTTTTTCTTCGACTATAAATTGGGGCAATCCGCAATCGAAACAGGTCAATAAATTAACCAGGTGTGGGGGCCCAATAGTGCTAGAGAAAGCACTGTGCGGCAATGGCTCAACAAATTTCGTTCTGGAGATTTTAGCCTTGAAGATGAACCTCGTAGCGGTCGACCTAAAGTAAAATCTGACGAGGATTTTAGGGGGATTTTGGAGGCTGACCCATCCCAAACAGTTTGAGAGATAGCAGAAGAGCTATGTGTTGCAGATGTCCACTGTTGCAGATGGTCTGGAACGCACTGGGAAGGTGAAAAAACTCGACAATTGGGTGCCCCCTAACCGGAGTGACCGGCAGAAATCGGCACGTCTCGAGGTTCCTTCTGCATTGCTTTTGCGCAGCAGAAACGACCTGTTTTTGGACCGAATTGTCACCTGTGATGAAATATGGATCATGTATGATAACAGGAGACGGCACCAGGCCGAACCATCACAGCAGATCCCTACGTGCGGGCGACGTATTGTACCGAAAATTTTGTCAGATGCAGCCAATACTTATCAAAAGAAAGGGTCCGATTCTTTTGCCTGACAACGCCCGCCCGCACGTTTCACAAATCACTACCATAAATTGAACGAATTGCGGGGTTGAAGTTCACGGCTCACCGCCATATTCTTCAGACATTTCGCCAGCCGACTATCACCTTTTCTAACATTTTCAGAACTCCCTTGCTGGAAAATACTTCATCAATCAGGACCAGGCAAAAAAGCCTTCGTGGATTTCGTGAATTTTCGACCACCCAGTTTTTTTCTTTGATGAGATTTCTCGACTGCTATCACATTGGCAAAAGTGTGCTGATTCGAATGGTGCCTATTTCGATTAAATCCGATGAGTATTAAAAAGTTACGATCGTTTAAAGAGAAACACCTAAAACGCTGAGAACTTTCCGGACAACCTAATACCACCATACCCGCCCTAGATGTTCGAAAAAACAAAAAACGATGCTCAGCGTTTCTTTTTCGTTTTTTTTTTGCTACGGCTCAGTTTCTGTTCACTTTTTCGATATAGAAGTCTATATCGTTGGGTTCACCTCGTCGAGATCCGCATGATGTCGTTCAAGAAAGCTTGAAAAGTCCAATTTTTGAGTCTTCATTCCATCGCAATACCTTATTAGCGAGCCCAGTGGAGCACTTTTATGAGTTCTCGTCGGCATAACCGAAAATGCTGCGAATGATATGATACATGGTTGAGTGATAGTACATCATTTAGAGGGGGTACGTAGTAAGGCTCGGTTGTTTATGGTAATAAGCTCATGAGATTCGGGGCTCACCTGTACCCGTGGAATGTATCTTGCATCCCCATTACGTTTTCGAAAGCTATGGCTGCACGCTTGAGCTGCAGAAAGACTTCTAGGCTTGCCAGCCGCTTCTGTCTATACTTTCGACTTCGGAAAGGAAACTCCTCGCTGGATTGGATGAAATGCGATCTCTCAGCCTGAGGTGTAATACGGCCTGCCCCATCGCCGTGCTGATTCCTTTCAATCAGTGGCTGATCCTCGTATAAAACTCGGAAGCTTCAACATCCTTCTTCACGCTTGCTTCAACATTCTTCTTCACGTCTTAATATTCTGGTCATTTCCAAGTACAATAAACTGACGAAAATAAGCACAAATGTTGACGAACTCTACCTGCTTCTAGCGACTAACTAGATGTTACTACAATTCTCCAGCATCCTGACAGGGAATCACAAAAATGCTTCCTCATCACTCTCACCCCTCTCCGCCCTTCCCCCCCCCCCCAACGAGCAATAACCGCTCCTTGGCTTCGGAGTGCCTTCGCGCCTCTTTGCCGTCGCGGCGATGACACCTAACACGCGCAAGGTACGCTCTGCTTGATAGTTTTCCTCATAGAGCCTAAGAACCCTACGTTAACAAGCTTTTAGGAAGCAGGAAACATTTTTTCGACTAACACATGCTCTCTACCGGAATGCTAAAATCGACGACTTAGGTGAGTTATACAATACTAGGCTGACCCATCGGTGAGGAGGGTTTCCTAGCATAGCAATTTTTGTGAAATTTGATAAAAAAGTCTGCGAAAAGGCGGGTCCCGATACAGCCACGAACCGCCAAAAAATTTCCCAGAACATTACCGCCGTCGAGGTATGGTGGTGGTAATGGAAGGGGAAGGAGCGAGGTGGAGCACGGTGCTCTCGGAAAGAAAGAAACAAACAAACAAAGCACTACACACCCACGTCCCTTCCTCTGATGGGTTCACCCGATGCTGACGGGGCTGCTCGGTGAAGCGTTCACTTCGAATGCGTAAAACACAATCATTTGTCATTCGGCTTCGAATGCGCAGTGACGCTATATAGTGGGGAGTAACGAAGAACTAAATAAAAGGGTCAAAAACCAGCATAGAGGCCTTTGTTAACAAACGATAACTCTGAAAAGATCCTACTAATTTGGAAATTCTCGAGATGAGAGAAAAATCTTTTCGCTCACCTGTAGCCTCAGAAGGATATCTAAGCCGGAATATGTGCCGCAGTTCTTCCCAGCTTCTCAGTCCCAGCATGATGGAGAATGGCAATCGCAAGTATATGTTCAAGCCTTTATAGTAGCGTCCTTTGTTCCCGGCAGCCGCTGCGGTTTCCTTGCACAGCATATGCTACGCTTCCTCCGCATCAGTTTTTCTTCAAGTGAAACCATGTACTCGAATGGACTGGTCAAGTACATACCAAATCCTGTCTTATGTAGCAGTGGAGGGATACTAACACGGTCACTCCGGCCCTGCAGACTGATACTGGATCCCCCACACGATGCTTAATTAGGCAAGAGTCGTTCCATTTACCCTTATTAAAGACAACTGTGCACTCATTCCAAGGACGGTTCTCTCCAAGTGCGAGGAGACCTGGTTGCAGCTTCACAATTGCGACATTTCTGGCACTTGGCGCTTTCATCTCCTATACTCTACGACGAAACCTCCGTGTTGTCTTTCACGCAACCATCGCCGCCAAGCGAGTCCCGACGACGGGACGTTGGCGGCGGGTCAGCATGGGAACGGGGAGCTACGCGAAGCGTGTCGCGTAGCGTTCATGCTGACTCCGCCGGCTGGGGAGGTTTCTCCCCGCTCCGGCTTTCGTTTCGTGTTTGATCAGTCGTGTCGCAATTAGTTCAGCATATGTCTCTGAACTATGTTTTTCAACCTATTTCGTTGTAAGTAAGGAGTTAAGTGCTATTTTTCATGTCTAAGAGTTCCATCCCAGTTGATGCAGAAAGTAACATTCAAGGTGTTGTAGTACCGTACCAGCCTGACCATTCTAATTGGTTCCGTCAATCAGCTCATTCTAGCTAATTCAAGCGGTCTTTGCTGGCTGAAGATTATTTGATTTATTAGACTTGAACCGTATCAGGTTCGGGAGCATTCGCAGCTCCGTTGATGTCGCAATGTTCTCAAGCGTTGATTTCGCAATACCGTACATGTCATAATGTTCATGACTTCGAGATTATGCCTCACTGTCGCAGCGGTATCCCAGGTTATACTATTCTGCTGCACAGTTACAGTTCGCCAATTTCGCAATCCCTCATATCCATCGGGATATATTTTCCAGCAGTGGTGTTACATTAGCCGCCTTATTCGTACAGCATTCTGGAGGGTTAACCTGTTCCTTTCTAAAGTTTTGCGGCAACTTATGTCTAATATCTAGTCGCTATTGACATTCGCAAATGATGGCAGTCCATCTGTTTCGGCATATGATAATTGGGGTGAGAGTCATGGGAAGTGTGAGTCCTCATGTTGTCCACGCTGAGATGGTTTGGTCAGGTTAAGATCTGAACGGAGACACGCGTGTGAGCGCTTCTCGTGGCCTGTCCTATAAAACTTTACGATGATCCCGCGTGGGATACTCAAGTGCTGATTAGGTCT